AACTTAACTCTGGTGCCGTGTCACATATAGAAATTTTTTGATATTTGCAACCATAGTAAAACAAGGACTTATATTTTTGATATTTATTTTATATATTTAAATGCCATTTAACAAAGAAAAATCAACCAAAAAATGAGTTTGCCTGTCACCTCTGACACGCGTGTCATAGGTTCGCCATCACTGGACTAGACGCTTTTCCCCAGGATGACAGCCATCTGTGTGCCGCTGTTTGCCCGCTGGGGCCTGGGAGACGTGTTCTGAGCAGCACTAGGCTGCACCCAGAGCCCCATTAATCCTCGGAAGCCACATAACGGGAGAGGAAGGTGTTTGCAGGCCGGGCCTCCCCTGTGTGAACTCCCCACCCCGCCACCAGCACTGGCAGCAGCTGCCACGGTGCCCGAGGGCCATCTTTTTCTCAAGGCACAAGGAGGTAACGATGTAAAAAGGGGGGCAGCTGATGGCTCCAGCCCAGTGAGCTTCAGAAAGAGGCCTAAATGCCCCCCAGGCCCCCTGCCACTGTCCACTCCTGGGACCTCACCAGGTAGCCCGGACCCTCAGCGGAGATCTGCCTCTTCATTCTGGTAAAATGTGTTTCTCATTGAACCTGAACCCACAGTTACACCTGAGCTTTTCATACCTTCATGGTTGATGTTCTGTAGCAGGAAGTGAGGGTTAGCAAGATCACACATTACCCTGTCCTTCCTCGAATTCCCGAAGCTGCTGACTGCTCACGGAAGCCTGGCCTTCACGCGTTGGTGTTTAAGGCAGGAGCCAGCTTGCCCTGCCTGTGCCCGAGGGGAGGCCCCGAGATTCAAACACTGACCCGTGAAAGCCACACCCAGTTTTCTGAGTGAACGGGCCTCTCTGGAACTGAATCTGGCCAAGTACATGCTGTTAGCTAACCAGGGATTCCCTTATCGGGATTCTCCTCAGGCTCGTTCACAAATGGGTCTAGGACTTTTCTGTTGGGGGTTATTATAGACTGAGCTATGTTAATGCACATATTTCATACGATTTGCTGTGCACGTTTCAAAATTCATTTAAGTATAATACTACTGAATCTTCCATCGGCCACTTGGCATCTTTCATACTTTCCAAGACTCCTGAAAAACAACTCTAACCTCCCATGCCCCGAACCATCTGCCCTAACTTTCAGTTTCCCTCTAGGCACTCAGTCCGATGAAAACCAGGAACCAGAAACACACAAGGAAGACAGCACACGCCTTCACTTGGGCGGTGCCTGATGTCCTCTGGGCCTATCCACCTTTTTAAAAATTAGTTCCTAAACAGTGAGGCCATCCTGACCCCTGAACAAGAAGCTCCCCATGGCCCAAGGTGATGCCCGTAAGAGGGCAGGTCGCCTCTGACGCCACGGTCCCACCTCCCTCCACCCAATACTGCGCCCTGCTCCAGCTCTCAGACAGGGCAGGTTAGAAGCCAAGCACTAGCCCTGGCTGGTGTGGCTCAGTGGATAGAGCATCGGCCTGCGGACTGAAGGGTCCCGGGTTCGATTCCGGTCAGGGGCACATGCCTGGATTGCGGGCTCAATCCCCAGTGGGGGGCGTGCGGGAGGCAGCCGATCAGTGACTCTCTCTCATTATTGATGTTTCTATCTCTCTCTCCCACTCCTTTCCTCTCTGAAATAAATAAAAATATATTTTTTAAAAAAAGGATAGCCCTAGTGGCATTTCCATACATAAAAAAAAAAAGCCGAGCACTCAAATGGGTTTTTATTTTTCTCACCAATAGCAATAATGGCTGGTGCTGGTTGAGTGCCCACCCGGCATTCTTCCATGGAATATGCATCGTCTCATTGACCCCGCACACCCCCTGCATTAGATACTATTGCTATTTTTATTCTCACTTCACAATGAGGAAACTGAGGCACAGGGGAGACTTAGGTGGCAGGGAACATAGCACTCCACGGAAGGCTGTTAATACTTTCCAAGTACAATTCGTATTTTTCTGTATTTGGTAAGATTTCTTTACTATAACGTTCATAAATGTTTAGGCAAACCATTTACCAGCCTATCAGGATGGGCTCTGGGGGTGCCTCAGATGCAGCGGGGGGGGGGGGGAGTCCTGGAAGCCCCCCTATGTTATGGGCTAAACTTTTGGATGCTGGGCCACGAGGGGATTCTCAGGGAAGGGGCCAGGGCAGTCGGGTGGGAAGCTGTTTACCTCCTGTTACAGGAGGACCTCAGCATTTTCATTGTTAAATAAGCATAACACTTTACATGTGATTAGCCATCGACTATGTCACTGAAATCGCTGATGAAAATAACCGGGCTGGCCGGCCTGCTGTCACCAACAGTCCCCTCCCTCCCCGGCCCGGCCCCAGCCCGGCCCCAGCCCGCGTACCTTGCTGGCAGTGCAGGCCCTCGAAGCCCAGGGGGCAGTCACACTCGTAGCCCTCCTCCCGCGGCCGGCAGCTGCCCCCGTGGGCACAGGGGCCCGCCACGCACGGGTGGGCGGCGTTGTCCACGTTCACGCCGCGGGTGAAGTCGTGCCTCACGTGGATGGCGCGGTCGTTCAGGGTGATCTGGGAGAGGAAGCGTAGACAGTCAGGGGCCCGGGAAACACTGGGCGGTGTGTGAAGGGTCCCTCGGCCACTGACCCAGACCACGCGCAGCGAGAGCTTCGGGCAGAGGACAAGGGCCAGTAGCGGCAGTCGTAGTCCTCAGTGACGTGACGCGGGAACCGACGTGATGGCCGGGGCGCGTGGGGGCTGTGCTGGGGTCTGGAAGGCCTGGTGGCTCGGAGCTCAAAGACAAGGCCCAGTCCCTACGAAGCGGGGTCCCCACCCGGCTGCCTCTCAGAATCGCCGGGGACTTTTAGGAAATAATTAACACCCAGGTCCACCCAGATATCTGAGTGAGAATCTCTGAGGGTGCGACCAGTCATCAGTAACCTGTCCAGGCTTCCTGGAGGTCCTGAGATGCAGCTGAGGCTGAGACAGGGAAGAATCCAGAACAAAGAACCGACACGGAGTGAAGGCTCAGGCGGGGGTGGAGGAGCGGCTTCTCGCTGGACTGCTCTGTTGCCTGACTAATGTCCTGGGGTACTGCCTCAGGCTCTAGCAGTGGGGCCCTCCCCATGGTCCCACCCACTCTCTCTTTTTTTTAAATCTTTACCCAAGGAGATGTGCTATTGATTTTTAGAAAGAGATGAAGGGAGAGAGAGAAAGAGAAAAGAACATCGAAGTGAGGATGTGAGAGGGAAACATCAATTGGTTGCCTCCTGTATGCACCTGACCAGGGATCAAAACCGTATTCTAGGTATGTGCCCTGTTCAGGAATCGAACCTGCGACCTTTTGGTGTACAGGACGACGCTCCAACCAACTGAACCAACCAGCCAGGGCCCCCCAGCTCTTGCTGGCCTCCTTCCCGGACACTCTTGAATTCCCTTTCCCTCTACAACCCCTTCCTCATCATTAAAGAAAAAGAGAGGAACTCAGCTCACATTTCCACCACATGCTGGGCATGCTCACTGGGGCCAGAGCGCTCCGGGCCCCACCCCCTGTTCCCTGCAGGGGGCTCTGGAGAAAGAGGAATTCTAGGAATAGCTTACTGGGCTCCCACCCCAAATACATACACCCATTGTTGCCAGCCCTTGACTAAGACTGTGTATCTACCTGAGCTGTTGGTGTTCCATGTGGGGGAGGCTTTGCAGAACTCAGGGAGAGAAAGTGCCCCAGGACACCCCGCCCTGCAGGGGGTCCAAGCAGTTAGCAATGGCATTTCCGGCCACTAACCCCCATTTCCACAGGCTGGCCTGGTCCTGAGCTGGGAGCAAACTTCCCTCGGTCCTGAATCTCAGAAGCTTCTGGAGAGCAGCTAGAATCTCTCCATAACTTCCCCCTTTTCATGCCGTGAGTGAAGGGCTGTGAAACTGTCACTGTAGCTGAGACTAGCCATTCACCGCACCTGTCACCGCACCGTCACCGCACCGTCACCGCACCGTCACCGCACCGTCACCGCACCCGTCGCCGCACCTGTCACCGCACCGTCACCGCACCGTCACCGCACCTGTCACCGCACCGTCACCGCACCGTCACCGCACCGTCACCGCACCTGTCACCGCACCGTCACCGCACCCGTCGCCGCAGGATACGGCACAGCCAAGGCTTTGGCCAGGACCTGGGAGGGGAGGGGGCCTTCCCCGGAGTGGACAGGAAAGGGCTGTGTGTGCTGTGCCTGGGAGGGGGCCTGCGAGAGTGGGAAGAGGGAGAACCCTCTTAGCGCCTCAGCTTGCTTCCCAAGTGAGAATTCCAAACACAAGATTAAACAAGGCCAAACCCAGTCAGGGGGTAAGAGGGGGAATAATGGTCTGAATTGAGGTGTCACTGTCACCACAGTTTGCAACAAAGGGAAACACATAGGAGTCAGCAAATAGTGCCTGGACCCCACACGGGACACCCAGAAAGGCTGAGCCCAGGGGCCCTTCCCAGCTCCCAGGAGCAAATCCTGGTAGGACCTTCCTTCCCTGGGCCTCCCAACCTCAGGTTTGAAAGGGTCAATGGCCCACCCCCACCCCTGGTGGCCGAAGAAAACCTGGATGACGCTAACACCCAGGAACCCAGCATGCTTCCCTTCAGGTCCCTGTCCCCCAGGGTTTGGGGGCCTGGAGACCTGGCAGGTGAGTCGCCCTGCATGTCTGCTGCAGACAGAACTCCCTCTTCTCCTACCCGAGAGTCATGGCAGGGCAGCCCCCGGGGAAGGAGGAAGAGATGAAGATGAGTGGGGTCCGTGCCCCATGTCTGTCACTAGCTGAGCGGTTTCCTCCTGCACCTTCTATGGAAAGACTCTACGCTCTTGAGAACTGGGTTACGTGACTGATGAACTGGGTTACGTGACTGATGAACCATTGCTAAAGTGGGGGGTGGGGAGGGGCAACAAGAGTTGGTTCTTGCCTTCAGCAATCTGCCCGGTAAGCTACAGAGAAGCGTGGAGCCAAGAGTTGCTATTAGACCCATTCACCTCCTTCCCTTTCCTGGAAGCTTTGGAAGTGACCTGGGGCCAGTCCCAGGATATGTTTGTGGATTTGCTGGAAAAACGCATCTTCCTCGAGTTCGGTTCGGGCTATGTCTGCTGGGCACAGACCCAGGAGCGGACTGAGACTTTATAAGACGTGGGGTTGGAAAGCTTGCTGTGAACACTCACAAATGAAATCTTAAACGTGTCAAACTCTCTCAAAATGTCCCTGGGTGCAGCGGGTTGAGCATTGGTCACAGTTCTTACTCCCACTGTCTGGAGTCAAGGTCACACAACAACCAGGAGCAAGCGAGCCCGTCCGTACCTTCTGGATGCTCCCGCTGAAGGGCCTGAGGATGCCTGACTTGTTCTTCACCGCGTCGTAACTGGGGACTCCGCCAATAAAGATGTCCGTGTTGCAATTAATCTGCGTGAAGCCGCCCTGCCAACAGGTGAAACACAAAACACGGTGTAACGTTGAGAAAAGATGGTCAAGACTAGCACATGCGCCCTCGGGTCCCCTGGAGACCCATCAGGACAATCTCCTCATGTTGGTCTGACGCTCACAGTGCTTTGCGTGGCCCCTCACCACCTCTTTGGATGTTTGTAAATTTCATAGCCTCTCTGAGATTCAGGTTCACCATCTACAAAAGGGGAACCGCAGTGTCTACCTCACGGATGCGGATGCGTCACAGCAAAGGGGTGGATGCTCAGCCAGCAGGACCCTGCCCGCCCCCCCCCCCACACACACACAGGTTGACGGCCTCCACCCTGTCCGTCTCACGTGGGGCACACAGCCTGCGATCTCAGTGAAACGGGAGCAAGAGAGACATAGACCACTGCTGGGCATGAGCCTTCGGAGCCTGGGAGTGGCTCGCCCTGCCTCATCCCTACCCCCGGTGCCTCCAATCTGGGTCTCAGATGGAAGCTGCCGCTGGCCATGGATGGACATGGAGCGAGAGTGGGAAGTGGACCCTGTGATGAGCTGCTGGTACCCGGGGCTGTGTGTGACTGGCTGGGCACAGTCTCGCCCCTCCTGGCACTGAGCTGGACACACACCCCTCACTCAGCATGGCCGGCTATTGTTATATTCAGGCACCACAGCTCTGCCTTCATCAGATCACAGACTGAATTGTCTCTGTTGCTAACCTTCAGGCTGTTTGGGATTCTTCTAATTCCCAAGGAGGTTCGGGACACCCCTCTTCCCCTGCTGTCCCCAAGGTGGTTCCCAGACACGTGTGTCTTTTCTTCTCTCCTCCTCCACCAAACACCTCTGTCCCCACCCAAAGTCTCCTTTCCTTCCTTTTTTTTTTTCCTGCCGGTCCATTTTCTCACCAGAACACCCACATTCACCATTTCCCTCTTTAAATCTTGCAATGCACAAAATAAAGTCAAATATTGTTTTAGGCATCTGTACATTTTTTGGGGTGTGCAGAATCCTAGTAGGCTATAGCTTAAAGCAAATCTCTCCTATCTCTTCTCAAAAATGTCATTTTCCTTCGGATATATCCTTGGAAATGAAATCAAGTTGTAAACTTGAGTAGAAATTCAGGCCATGAAAGTACAATATAAATACTACTAATAAGTAAAGCTAAACAGTGCTGACCCTATGCCAGGGACTGTTGTGTGTGACATATATCAATATTCTAATTTGCACAACTCCATGAGGTAGGACTATTATTACCCCCCATTATATAGATGAGAAAACACAAACTCAGAGTCTCAGTTCACATTATTGGTAAGTAAGGGGAGCCAGATTTTGAACCCTGAAGTCTGGTTTCAGAGCCTACTGTATACACGCCCACAGGAACAAAGGGGGCGGCCGGCAATGCTTCAGGTGCTGCACTTGTATTTGCTCACTGAATCCGTGAGCTGCCCTGTGAGGCATCTACTGCTACTGTCCACGCTCACAGCTGAAGAAGAGAAAAGTTAAGTAACTTGCCAGGTCGGGGGCTCGGGTGTAGCCCAGGCAGCCTGGCCCTGGCGTCCATGTGCTTCGCCACTTTGTCTCCAGGACAGAAAGGAAACAGCCCCCACACACCGTCAGGAGCACAGGTGAGTCCTTACCTCCGCCATGCCCTCCACCACCTTCTGCTTATCCACCTGCAAGATACCGTTCTTCGCTGTGCGAGATACACGCAGCTCGTGCCAGCGGCCGAGGGCGAGGGGGTCTTCACTCCTGTGGAGGGAGGGAGACTGGGCGTGGGTTAGCATCCTCCGGGTTATGAATGCTGTTCATCGATCCGGCCCCGATGACATGGATGCCAACCTCAGCACCTCACACTGCTCGGCAAAAAGAAAACGATCCTTCCTACTTAGTGGACACAGCAGTGTTCGCCCCATTTATCGGTGGGAACGTTGCATTCATTATCTTATTTATTCCTTACGGCGGGCCTGAAGCGGGGTAGGAGGAGCCTTGTTTTCTAGATGAGGGGTGGCAGGAGGGTAAAATGTGATCATTGTGGCACAGAAGCCTTGAAGAAGAAGAGTTATATGGGCTATGGAGTAAAACAGAGATTCCTTGGTGTACTGATGTCTTGCAGTACCTGCTGAAATACATAGAAAATAAGATGGATGGATGGATGGATGGATGGATGGATGGAAAAAAGTAAAGAAAGGAGGAAGGAAGGAAGGAAGGAAGGCAGGCAGGCTAGATGTGGGATAAAGCCAATATAACAAAGCATTAACTGTGGACCATAGGAGGTGGGTGTGATGTTCACTGTACTCTCCTATCAACTTCTATGTTAGAGTTTTCGTAATAAAACGCTGGGGCAAGGACAGGTTGCGTGTTCTCTGAGATTGTGAACAGGATTAAAAGTAGTTTAAAAATTCAGTTTTAAATTCCAGGTGGAAGCACTTGAAGTTTAAATGAAGCTGGTCAGAGTCCTGCACATTGCTTTTTACAGGGCGGCGTACGAGGAGCGTCCCCACGCATCTGTATGTCTAGCGGCGTGGTCCCTGGCCTCCGCTGCAGCTCCAGCTACTCTGGGGTCCCGGGCGATCGCCGGGAAGCCATCAGGAATACCAATGCGCCCCGTTACTGAAAGGTCGTCACCCCTTACTTGATTTTTCGCTCCGGCAAATGCTTTTGTGATTTGTCCTTCGCAATTAGGATTTAATCACCTTGGCTAAATCAATAGGCAATAAAGCACCCAGCGGCACGGCACTTCAGCTGGCCCGTGTCCACACAGAGGAGCGGCGCCTCGGTCCTGCTCTCACCCCGCAGAGGTCGTTTCCTGCAGATACGCCGCTCGCTCAGCCCGGCTGTATCCATCACGGCCGTCGCTGGCTCCTTACAATTGTCACCATTTTTGAATCCAGCTCATAATGAATTGGACCACGGCGCCCTTTTCCTCAAGTGAAAACGCTGCGGCCCATTCCACAACCTCCTGTAGGTCAGGCTTTCACAGAATTTGCTTAACTGAGCAGGACGTCTTTGGAATGGTTTGTAACATAAATCTCTCCCAAAGGGGTGTCTGAAACCCCATCAGTGATCGCAGTGGTCGGTTTGCCCTGGAGCCTCCTCTTCATCACCCCAGAGCCTCAAGGATTTTGTTTCTAAGCACCTTTCCTGACAGGCAGGAAAACAATAACTTATTATATTATTATTATTTTAATATATTTTTATTGATTTCAGAGAGAAAAGGAGAGAGAGAGAGAGACATTAATGATGAGCGAGCATCATTGATCAGCTGCCTCCTGCATGCCCCCTACTGGGATTTGAGCCTGCAACCTGAGTATGTGCTCTGACCAGGAATGGAACTGTGACCTCCTGGGTCATAGGTTGATGCTCAATCACTGAGCCATGCTGATCAGGCGAAATTATTATTTTTTAATTAAGAACTACTCTTGTCAAAAGTAGGCACAGAATTAGGAAGTGCAAAGCTGGTCTTCTGAGGTCCCATGAATCTGTGACCCCGGCCACAGCTTAGCTGCATTGCTGAGGTGCAGGGAGCAGTCTGTCCAGGAGGGGCGCTGATGAGCCACAACCCACCCTGGCTCCTGCCAGTCATTCCTTATCCAGGATAGAGCCACTTTAAAGTACAAGGTGGTGTGCAAGACGTCTTCCTTTCTCAACTTGACAAATAGTTCTTAGCGAACACTTAGACTGGTTGCATACTAATCACGTGTAAACTGAATCAATTAAATACCCCCCAGAGTTGTCCTGAGACACCGGGTGTGTTTGCAGAACCAGGGGTACAAGCACGTCTGTCCGCCCCCCACGGTGGGAGGAGTCACGGATGGGCAGGGGTTCAGCCATAAGGGCAGAGACAAACTGGCCTTTCGAAGAATTGTGGAAATCCGATGTAGTGATTTCCCATCAGCCATGAACTATGACCAGCAGCTCAGGGCTACGCACGGCTGTAACATCTCACCCACATGCTCTTTCTGTAAAAATGACAGCCCAGCAAGATGAGTGGATCGACTATGACCTGCAATCACCTTCAAAACAACAGCAAGCTCACTGATTCCCTGCTGCGGGGCCGCTCGGAGGCAGGCGTCCCGTGAGCCCCAGCAGAGAAGAGGTGGACACACGTGGGAACGAGATGCACGGCCTCTGGGTAGGAAAGAAAAGCTGCCAGGGGAGGAACACAGTTAAGAGCGAGACACACACAAACAAGAAAAATGTCTGCACCGCCCGGGACTCACAGAGATACGGACACGGCACTGAACCATCGATCTGAGTAAATTCACACCACAGACCAGGTAGCTGAGGTAAAGTTCTGACAACTCAGAACCAATTCCGCAGACGCCAGCCAGCACTCGAGGCATCGATTTACCGCCGGGCGTGCTATTGAGCCTCCTCGAGCACACTGGTCAGAGGGGGGCCTTTGCACCTGCTGGGGACTCGTGTCAGAGCACGGGGAGCAGTGAAAGACTCGCTAAAGTGCAAGTCACCACTGAAGGAACGGCAACGAGGAAAGTCAAAATGCAAAGTGAAGCCACCAAGGACATTTCTGTTCATTAAATTTCTGTTAATAGTTTTAAAAAATCCATTTTAATTGATTTTTAGAGTGAGAGGAAGGGCGGGAGAAAGAGGGAGGAAGAGAGAGAAACATCGATGTGAGAGCACATCATCAATTGGATGCCTCCTGCACACCCCCTACCAGGGAATTGAGCCCGCAACCTGGATATGTGCCCTGACTGGGAACCGAACTGGCAACCTTTTGGTGCATGGGATGAAGCTCAACCACCTGAGCCACACCGGCCAGGGCTCTGTTAGTACTATTTTACTGGTCATCGTTTATTTGCTAAGCGCCCACCAAGTGACGCTCGGGGCAACGTGCTGATTCATTACAACCCATCCCATCTCTGCTGAGGGCACGGTGTGACCCCACGTGGAGAGGAAGGCTGTCACTCTCCCCCTCCCCCCTGAAGCAAGCCCGTTTTCCTTAGCTTCAAGCAGAGAATCGGCACCTCTTGGGCAGCCATGTAAGAAAAGGGAGCCTTGCAGCAGGCCAGCACGATGGACAGGAAGCCTGCGATCCGTATTAGTCAGGAGAGGTTTCGGGAAGGAAAACTGCAGGGGAGACAGGGAATGACATGCACCTTTTCCCAGCGTGGCTGCAGTCTGGCTTTTCGGGGAAGGGAGCCCCTAAAGCTCTCAGCCCTTACCTGAGCACAGCAGTCCCGGAGCCACAGTCAAAGCGGAACTCCACGTGGCCCCCCGCCAGGTTGATGGACAGGAAGTCTCTGCTGCCCGTGTCGTGGCTGTACAGGAGGACGCCGTCGCCCGAGTCCGGCCGGAAGGTGATCTCAAACTCCATGAAGGACAGGTACCGCCGGGGCTCCAGGGGCCAGGGCGTGGCAGCGTAGGACCTCAGGGACTCTCTGAACTGAGGAACGGTCAGGGTGAAAGCTGAAGAGACAAGCATGTGGTCAGAAACCGCTCCATGGCAGAACTAGCCGTGTTCTTTTCCCCTGGGCACTACCCCGTGGTGAGGTGGGTGGGCTCATTGAACTCTGGCCAGTGGCATGAGGCTGGGAGCACGACACCTATGCAGGTGGGGCCCCTAGAACTTGCCTCCATCCTCCCTGTGTTCCCTCTCCCCCCCTGCTGGCTGGACGCAGGATCAGAGGACTGTGTCCCTGAATGACTGCGTGCAGCAGAGGCCAGCCCACCACTGCCAGCACCTCCAAGCTCTGCAGCCATGTGAACTGTGAGCAAGGATCGGCCTCTATTACGTTAGGCTACAGAGATACGAGATGGCATGTAACAGCCTCACTTATCTCAACTCCTATGCCCTCTTCTAGGTGGCATGAGGTTGTTTAAAAAATATTTTTTCATTTATTTCAGAGAAGGGAGAGGGAGAGAGAGATAGAAACATCAATGATGAGAGAGAATCATTGATCGGCTGCCTCCTGCATATCCCACACCAGGGATCGAGCCCACAACCTGGGCATGTGCCCTGACTAGGAATTGAACTGTGACCTTCTGGTTCATAGGCTGATGCTCAACCACTGAACCATGCCAGTCAGGTGGTGACATGAGATTTTACATTATACAGTGTTACAAAAACTTTCTCCAGTATGGCATCTTAAGTCCAAATCTGAATCGCTGGTGGAAAAGTTAAAACACATTTAATTCTGTGTGGTTTTCCAAAATATTTAAACATTTTCCATTATTACATATGTGTATTTGTGTGTGCATGTGTTTCCATGTATGTATACATATGTGTGTATGTAATTGATTATATGTTTTTACATAATCAATATATACGTTATTGAGAGGTAAGATAATTCAGCAGAGCAGTGCAAAGAAAATGACACAAGATCACTCTCGTCCCATCGCGGGGTTGATGTTTCTGGGCGTGTCTTCCCAACCTTCCCTCCGAAACCCTCAGATAATCTAAGCAGCGAGCTGACAATGCTTCGAACTGAGCCTGAAACAGGCCGCACAAATATAAGCTCTTCAAAGTTATTTGAGGGCCAAGAGGAACCCCCAAAACCTGACCTGGGAACATCTTAAAATGAAGTTTGGTTTGACACTGACACTTTAAGACACTCTACCTTAAAGAAAAGAAAAAAGATTCTCCCAACCATCCCGGAAAGCAATGTTAATCCCAGAAACACATATGGGCTTTGCTCAAAGTACACTGATGAAAATTTACGTCCCCATCAATTAACAAGCAGATAGAAATCGCCAACTTGCTTCTTTCTCACCATCCTCGCAGTGTCGCCCTTTAAATCCCAGGGGACAGAGGCAGATGTAGTTGTCAGCTCTGACGGCCGTGCAGGTGCCGCCGTGGATGCACGAGGTCTCGTCACAGATCCCGCTGCTGCACTCGCCTAGACACAGAACGGATCACACAGCCGCTTCGTGTCCAGTCAGCCAGCCCAAGGCCCCGGAGCTGGCCACGCCACGGCTCAGGCTCTGCACAGACACAGTGGGGCTCCCACTCCTGCTGCTTCACACCTCCTACCGCTGCACGCCAGCCTTCAGCATGAGTGGCACCTACGCTTCCTCTTCACTGGGTTCTCGCTGTTCTTTCCGAACAGCCACAGAGACTTTAAAACATGGTGGACACAACAGACTTGGGGGCAACTGTTTGACCGCTGACGGGGGTGGCCGAGTTGTTTTGGCATTAATTCCTCTCTCTGTTGTTCCCGCGAGAGTGATTCAATCCCCGCAATGTGAACAGAGTGAGGATGTTGGAAGTGTCCTAGGCTGTGTGGCCCAGTTACCTAAAGCGCTGCCTCCTGCTGGTTGAACATTGAGTCAACCAAGCTCAGCACTGAAGGAGCTCAGCGGCCACGTCTAAGCTTATGAACTGGCCTCACTCAGGGCCGCCTCAGTCTGCAGCAGCGAGGGCCAGGGAGGGCTCCATGAGGCCTCAGCATGTGACTTCAGCATCCGTGTTTCTACCAGAAAGTTATGATCTTATGAGGGAGAGAAAGTGGTCGCGAGTAAAGGTGCTCACAGGTTCAACATCAGGTGGGCTGGTTAGTTCTCTTAACCAAACACATCAGAGATGGTCATTTTCAAGGGCAGGTCACCAGATGACGCAAACACAGCCCCCCACAACTCACCCCCCACACCCGCCTGCAACTCACCCCCCACACCCGCCCACACCAAAAAGGCACCCAAAGGAGCACCCCTGCCCACCTGGCACCCACTTACCCACATCGGCCCCACTGAGGGCTCGCCCCAGGGGCCAGGGCCGCATGTCCACTCTCTCCCCGTTCACCGTGAGCGACTGCACGCAGCCTTGAAAGCCTCGGTCTGTTCCTGTGGCTCTGACCAACCAGTAAGTACTGGGAGCCCCACCAAGATAAAGAGGCGTCCTGAAGGTGATTTTAGTGTACTGGCCCTTTAAGAAAGAGGAAAACCGTGATTTATGAACCAACACCCAAAGCCAAAAACGCAACTGATTTTAATGAGGGACATGATCAGGATGTAGCTTACAACCATCGTATTTATCTTTAAGACCCTGCCCTGCAGCAAAATTAAACCCATGGTCACCACAGGAGACGCAGTGAGCTTCTCGGAGGGCTGTTTCGAGAAAGGAGGATTTTGGAAAGCCAGAAAGGAGGGGAGGGGAGCAGAGCCAAGAGCAACCCAGCAGGCCGTGCACCAGGCTGGGCCTCCAAAAACAACGTTCTCCTTCCAGTCCTGACACCAACGTACTGTGGACCTCGGAGGGGTCACAGGGCTGCTCTGTGTTCCGAAGGGGGTCATACTTCATGTGTGGACATGGGCTAACATCTACCCTCTCTCCTTCCTGCTCACCTTTACACTACATCCTGCAGGAAACACTGGGCAGGGCGAGGGGATTAGCAAGCAGATTTTGTTGCAAAATATTTTGAAATTTGCTCATGGATAGGATGTTTTGTTTTTTTTAAGTGTTATTACAGTTAGGTGGAGACATTTCTAGTTTTACAGCAGACCGCAGCCTGGACCGCAGCTTGTGAGGTTGTAAAACACAGACCTGAACGTCAGGTGGGATGAGATGAAGGTACCCATGGCCACGCGCTTCTGCGATTATGGAAATATCTCATTCATGTGGATGAATGGCTACATGGAAGGGGGTTGGGAGAAGGCACGCCGCCAGACTCATAAAATGCCCAGAAGTTAAGCCACTGAAATGTCTTCTTTATCCTTTATACTTTTGTTACCAAAAAGTAGAAGACCCAGTCATGGCTTTATCTCTGCTAATGAACAGATAAGACTCCTTGGTAAACAGTACCCTGACCATGAGCTGGGCAGGTTTAAGTACATGCAGTGAAGTTTAAGGATTAATTGTTTGCCAGCTACCGGCATACTGCTCTGTTACAGGGATTGGGTGCCTTATTGGCTTATTTCATCCACATCCTCCGGATTCACTCCTTCTGGATCCCATGTTTACCCTCTGGCCCTGCTCCCTGACCCAAGACCACGGCAGGGGCCTGAGAGCTCCCTCCCTTTCTCCTTGGTGGCTGGTTCCTTGGAGGCTCCATTCACAACACCCCAGGCGACAGTCTTTGAGCCTGGCCTTTACCTGCTCTGAGGAGGGCTGCCTTCAGGCCCCTGGAGCCTGCTTTGCCTGCTTATGCAGAGAACTGGGATTGCCCCTGAGTTTGCATTCCCCCAGCACAGCCCTTAACAGTTTCTAATGAGTGCAGAAGTATGAAAATCCAACTCGTTGGCTTTGGGCTGGAGTCACCTGGAGGTGTAAGGTATCCTCAAGCTCCCCTGTGGGGTCAGGCTGCAGCCGAGCCCTGAAGGGGTCCGTCTGAGAGCTCACTGTGCCTACTTTCGCCCTTCCCCGTCCATCTCTCCCTCCCTTACAGGTTCCTATGGCAACACTATGTTAATGCACCATTTGCACAAGACTCCTTCTCTGGCCTGTCTCTGAGGAACTCTAGCTTAAGACAGAGTCATTTTCTCCCGAAGGCCGTTTATTCAACATTCCACATCTGTGGTCCTGCTCATACAACTTGCTTAGCCCGTCCTGGGAGTAGAGAGACAAATGTTGCCCTGAGTATCCATACAATTATATGCTTCTTGCAATTAATTCTCACAGTATTAAAATCAGACTTTTAGGGTTAGAAATAATATGAAAACTCATATAGCCCAAGCTCCCGTTGGCTGCTGGATTCCTTGAACATCCCTCCCAAAGGTTCTGAGAAGTTTCTTTTGGAACATCCCCTCAGACAGGGAGCCATCTCCTGAGAAAGTCTGTTGCGCGTCTGTACACCTGTGCGTGATTAGGTAAAGCTACAATTGGCTCTCTGTGGCTCCCCCATTCGGCGTCAGCCTTGGGATCACAGAGTAAGTCCTTCTTCCCCAACACTGATGAAAAGCTACCCTCCACACCTTCATCTTCTCTTCTCCACACTAAACAATGCTCCTTCAATCAATCATTCCAGGGACTTCAAGTCATCTTCCTGTTTCATTGACTGCTTGTTGCACATGCTCCAGTTTTTCTGTAAACCTCTGAGAGTGTGGTCACAGATCTGAACACAATCCTCTTCGAGGATCAGTCACCATTAGAACTCTGGAAGCTATATAGTCACCAGAATAAAATAGAATTATCACTTCCCGTTTTCTAGATGGTATGCCTCTATTAATGTAACCTATCATTTCATTAGCTTGTTGTTACTACATGGTTCTGTTTATTAACCTTCATAGAACCTCCTTGCTTTAAATCTTACACCATTTTCAGAGGTATTGCTTCTTCATCCTGTTTTCATGTTAGTATTTTGGACCCAAATTCAAAGCTTCTTTATTCCCATCAAACTTAATTTTAATCATATGGGCCTATTGTTCTGGCATGGATGTGACTCTGTAGTTCATTTATTCTGTCTTTTCCTTCCTTAGAAATGTATGTATGTGATCTCACTGGATTCATATTCATTATCTTGAATTTCTGTTCCTTTGGAACCATCAGGGTCCACATGACCGGGGCTCAGCAAGGCATGGCCCTTCATTTAACATGTCTCGCCGGCACGGAGGAGCGAAGAGCCCAGGCAGGGAGGAAGCTCTCCACAGATACACAAAGGCCTTCTTGCTACATTTTCCCTCAGAGAATACGGACAGCTGACTGATTATAATTACAGGTTCGGTTCCTTGGCGGGTTGCTAACCCAAACTGTTTATTCCAAACACAGTCCTAAAATTGCCCCAAGCAAGACAAATATGTGAATACCTGGGCGATTTGCTGAGTAGCCCAATGGTTAAATTATTTCACCACTTCCTATAATCATGGTCCCCAAAAAGGTAGGTGAATGGGCGATTCCTGCAGATTGAACCAAGTGAACCTCTTGGAACTATTTCCTAAAGCCGCAGGATTGCGACACCCCGGCTCAGAAGCCAGCTTCGCATCTGGCACCGATAGTGGCTCTCCCTCTGCCCCGGGCCTTCCTGTCCTTGTGGAGAAAGAACCTGTCCCTGGGCGCCCACCGCGATGTTGCTTGCAGATTCCGCTCTCCTGGGTGGACGGGGGATGGATGTGTGCCCTGACAGCGCCCCTGGGGTGGCGAGATCCCACAGGAGCACGCCAGAGCTCCGCTCCATGAACAATGGCCCATCTGGAGCCCGAGTCCTGCCAAGTGTGCTTCCGCTCTGTGGTGGGCCCTCAAGATGCCTCTGGTGGGTGCCAGATGGGTGGGCAGGGCGTGCGGGGACTCACCTGGGACTGGCCCGTCACCGGCGTGTTGTTGTTTAGCTGCAGCAGCCCGTCCAGCCCATCTCTGTAGAGCATGACCGTGTGCCAGGCCCCTAGTTTGATTTTGGTCTCACTTACGATGATGGCAACCCCAGTTCCACAGTTAAACCTGTGGAGGAGGAAAAGGAAAGATCCTTTGATCAATCAGCTCGTTGTGTGTTCAGATCCCACAGATATCATCTCAGGCTGACGGCCTCTCTGGGAGCCAATGCGCTCAGAATTAGGTTTACAAGCACCAGGGGCAGCTTAAATGTGTGCACGGAAGAGCTAGGGCAGTGATGGCAAACCTATGACATGCGTGTCAGAGGCGACACACGAACTCATTTTTTTGGTTGATTTTTCTTTGTTGAATGGCATTTAAATATATAAAATAAATATCAAAATATAAATCTTTGTTTTACTATGGTTGCAAATATCAAAAAATTTCTATATGTGACACGGCACCAGAGTTAAGTTAGGGTTTTTCAAAATGCTGACACGCCGAGCTCAAAAGGTTCACCATCACTGAGCTAGGGCTTGTTCTCTGGGACGACGTCAGTCTAGTCGGTCTGGTTCTCTTCACTCTGCCCACATGTGGGTGCTCAAGAAACACTTGCTGTTGAATGAATGCATGGTTGTCAGGTACCTGATTCTGCAAAGGTCACCTGTGGCCCAGATGCTACAGTATTTACTAAACTGGCCCACGTTCACCTTACGCACACTGTTCCCTGTCTACAAAAACCCATTCTGGCCCAGCCTGCGTGGCTCAGTGTTTGAGTATCGACCTATGAACCAGGAGGTCATGATTCGATTCCAGGTCAGGGCACATGCCTGCATTGTGGGCTCGACCCCCAGTGTAGGGCGTGCAGATCCAGCTGGTCAATGATTCTCTCTCATCATTGATGTTTCTATCTTTCTCTCCCTCTCCCTTTCTCTCTGAAATTAATAAAATCATGAAAAAAACCCCATTCTGCATTTACTTTTTTCACACTGTAAAAATGGAAATATAACATAAGGTGGCATTACAATAGCTGTGGGCTTTCGGCGGAGTTACCTGAATTGGAGTGAGCGTCGGATGATGGCCAGGGACATGAAGTCGCCCCTCTCGTGTTCGCTCTCCCCACAGTAGAGCAGTAAGCCGTCCTCCGCCTCTGCCTGTCGGATGAACAAAAGCCACGGGGACCATGAGCACCGCCTGGTCCATAACACGCCACCTGGAAACACTCATGAGCATGAACCCTGAGCGTGCTCCTCTGTGGGCCTACCAAAGGGACAAGCACGTGGAGCCCAGGGAATCCCCAGGTACCTGGTCCCAGCACCCCCACGGCAGAGGTACAAACTGTGTGAGGAATGTCAAGGAAGCGACAAAGGGGAGGCCGCCTCGTGTTCGACCTGCTCTTTGCTTGTTCCCTGGACCCACCAGCAGAGCCTCAGGGAAACCGCGGCAGAGACCAGGGCCACGGACAGGCTGCTCTTGTCTCGTCAATGCTCTTCTCTCCAGCAGCAGCCTGTGGTTTTCCTTTATTTTGGTTTTTACTTCCCTCCCTCTGAGAAGCGTGCAAATTTGCTCCTCCCCTTCTCTCAGGAGGATAGGACAGTGAAAACAGCTCATCTGACAGCCTGGTTTGCTTTCCACCCATGCAGGCTCTCCTGGAGTGCGACCCATCATCTTCTGGGCGCTCAGCATAGTGACCACGCCCTGGCCGGGTAGCTCAGTTGGTTGGAGCATCGTCCTGATGCACAAGGGTTGCAGGTCCGATCCCCGGTCAGGCACACACAGGAATCAACCAGTGGGTGCATGAATGAGTGGAACAACAAATCGATGGTTCTCTCTCCCCCTCTCCCTTCCTCTCTTTCTAAAGTCAATTAAAAACAACAACAACACATTGTGACCATGACCTCAAAGGGGACTTGTTTCCAGATCTCCAGACATTTTTGTGTCGTCTGAGATACACAGAAGAACCACTTTAAGCTGCAGTCGCGACTGGATTCTATCTGCAGTTGTTCAGAGCGGAGGGCATCTATTGGCCTCACTCTATGCCAGGGAGACACATTTCAGCTTTCATCTGTTCCGCTACAGCCGCAGCAACAAGGGCAGACATCTGGGCTCCCTTTAAAAGCGGTTTTGGAATGAGAATGCCTTATGCCTTCTGAAGTCCTGGCCAGGGAGGAGCCCTGTTATGAGCAGCATGGCTGGGACCCAAACCTCCTCTCTGGGCACCCTCAGGCCAGCCGCCTGCACAGTTCAATAGCACACGGCACCCACCCCCTCACTGGTGCCCTTGAATGTGTGAATGAGCCCGTCATCCCTGCTACCCTGGGAACGGGTTTCAGGACAGGCTCTGTGTCATATTGTCCTTTGCTACTTACCTCCCAGGCCCTCCCCCCTCTCCTCCTCCCTCCTGTGATAGGACGTCCAATGGACACTCATCAAACAAGGAATCCCTCTTACCCTGAATTCCAGAGTGATTTGAAATGCCTGATGGGAGTTCTTCAGAGGGTCAAAGGTTACATAGGAGTGGCCGAAGAACTGAGGGTACTGTATAGCAACATCTGAAAAGAGGAAAAGACAACACGGAAACAGGCCTTTTCCCCGCTTCTTCTTCAAATGCAAAAATCAACGTGCGCCGCTGCGTGGGGGTCCCTGAGTGAAACCGCTCATCGGCTCAGCCTCGCTCACTCTCTTCTTCTCTCTACTTGTCACACCCAGACTCCTCGGACTCCTCGTTGTTGGGGACTCTGAGCTCCTGGAGTTCTCAGGGAGAACCTGGCCTTTGGAGACTGTCACTGTTTCCCTACGCAGAAACGGTGGCTGCCGGATCCCCGACGCCTGCTTTGCAGTGGTGCGTCTGTGTGCTGCACGTGGGCTCCATTAAGCCCTTTCCCAATTTGCATGCACATGTCCCAATTTGCAGCACTTTCTTCAGCGGAGCGGTGATGAAAGGAAAGCCCACTCCCCCGCGGTGCCACCGGGATGACTTATTCATTGCACCAGAGGTATTACCCGGTTGGCACACTGAGAAGTAGGGCTGCTCTCTAACTAGACGCAGTGGAAGTGGCCTCATGTTTGCCCTGGGTAGCTTATGTAATGACTTATGCAGGGACGAAGGGGCTTATCTTATGCCCAACTGGCAGGGCTCCATGGTTGCGCATTGACCTATGAACCTGGAGGTCATGGTTTGATTCCCGGTCAGGGCACATGCCTGGGTTGCAGGCCCGATCCCCAGTGTGGGGCGTGCAAGAGGCAGCCAATCAATGATTCTATGTCGTCATTAATGTTTCTATCTCTCTCTCCCTCTCCCTTCCTCTCTGAAATCAATGAAAACATATTTTAAAAAAAGAAGAGGCTTATCTTGGACAAAGGGTTAGAAGAAACCACAGGTGGTCAGCAAACCTGCCCTCTGGTGACCAGTGGGGCCAACCCACCGCTGTGTCCTTGCCCCACCGAGGGCCTACCTTCTGAGCAGCTCCCACCACCTTTGCCCAGGTTGCAGTGGCACCGTGAGCGCCCCCAGGTGTAGTCATTGGCACAAAAGCTGTCACCGGGGCAGAGAGTTTCATCGCACGGCTTGTCAAAGAGCCTGGGCATCGCAGGCACACCGTTCTTCCCTTGTCTCTTCAGCGGAGTGGGCTGGGGAGCCACCGGAGCCGGCGGGAGAGAGGCTGGAGTCGGGGGGACAAGCCTCGCAATGGTCTTTGGGTTTGATCTTGGCACAAACTTGGATTCCACCAACACTTTATTCCCTTCTTTGGTAGCAGGAAGTGGTTTAACCTACAGCCAGAAAAGGATTGAGAAGGAGCACCAAGAATTAGACGGCCTTATGATGGTGGATGCCTAATCCTTGAAAACATGGTCACTTTTGATTCCCCGGGATGTAGGCGGGCAGATAGTCCCTTCCCCAGTTTATGGCTAAAGAACTTGAGGCTCAAGGACTTTTGGTACCTTGCTTTGTATTAGTCAGAAAATTAGAAGTAAAGCTGATATATGGTTGTTTATTCTTCTTATTATTACAATAGCATGAAGATGGAATTGTCAAGGACCTGCTCATTTCCTTATAATACCTAACTGTGTAAAATTTTACGTGGTGGGAAATCTCAGTATGTTTTGGCCAGATTGGAAGTCGGCAGGCAGGGCTGCCCACAGAACATCAGCACAGTTGGTATTTAGTTATTACTCATTTATGATCACCGGGAGCCTAATAGTCAGAGGGAATAGATTCCATTTAAGTCAGTTTTACATAAAATGCTCCACAGCCCATTGGCCAAATTACCTTGTTCAGCAAGAAAAAACACACACAAAACACCTGGGTTTTAATAGCAGCGATTTGTGTTACCTCCTCAAAGGAAATATCCAGATCTAAGTCGTCTTCAAATCCCTCGTCATCCTCGCTGACTCCCGTGTTCGTTAGATAATGGGGTCCGTAGCGGCCACTTCCCTCCTCCTCGGGGCCTTCGCAGAGAAAAGAAGCCACTGCCGTCAACACGCCCTCCACCCCTCAACCACCCTAATCCAGTCACACGCAGCTGCGCCCAAGACACCGGGATGTGGTGGGCACTCAAAAAAGTCAACACTAAAGACAAAGGATCATGACCAAAAAGTACAAAACAGGGTTCATCTCATAAGTAATCAAGACAGTGCCAATTAGACCCCGAAAAAGCTGCCATATTATACCGACAAGACTGGCAAACAGGTAAAAGCTGAGCAAAAAAAACATCACCAAGGATGGGATCAGTGGGCACCCGTAGTCACTGACGTTAGACGTGCACGCCACTCTGCAAAACACTTGGCAATGTTTTATAGAGTAGAAAACGTTGATTCCCTTGGGCCCAGCAATCTTACCCTAACGTACAAAACCTGGAAACACGTGTAGCGGGAGACGTGCAAAACATGTTCATAGCATTAGAATTTGTAACAGAAAACAAGATCTCACATTTGTTATTTATAATATCTCTCAATAATTATGGTGTCTCTACAGAGAGGAATACTATGTAGCAGGGGAAATGAATGAATGAGCATTTAATAATGCATCAGCATGGCTTCATCTCACATCATTTCACATTAAAAATGCAAGTTGCAAAAATCACAAAACACATCCAGTGTAATGCCATTTATATAAAAGTCAACAGCAAGCAGACCTTAATATATTATGTAATAAGAATACATAGATATGTAGTTTAAATGATTAAGACAGTGACAAAAAATACCTGTGGAAGGTTAGAAGGATGTGCACGAGGCATTCCAGGGCCTTCAAGAATGCTCTCTAATATTTTATTCATTAAGACAGGTGTTGGGTACATGTGAGTGTTCATATTATGTTTATATGTTTTATATATGTTTTTCTTAAAAAGTCCCTGACCAAAGTTGCAGGCTTGATCCCCAATGTGGTGCATGCGGGAGGCAGCCAATCAGTGATTCTCTCTCATTATTGATGTTTCTATCTCTCTCTCCTCTGAAATACATACATACGTATGTGTGTGTGTGTGTGTGTGTGTGTGTGTGTATTTTACTATGCCAAGTGTTTTTCAGACATTGTTTCTGTTACTCCTCATGAAATCCTCTGAAATTGGCGTTATTACTCCCATTTTACCAAGTGGGGATTTAAACTCAGAAAGATGAAAGAACTTGCTTAGAGGCATAGAGATGGTAGATGGCAAAGCTAGAATTTATCCTTGGAATCTCTCTGATTACATCACGCCTCTAATAATCTGACTCCGAATTGTGTCTTCAGCTTTCCCCCTCTTCAAAAGTCTTAGCACACAAGCTGGTCTACCAGTTGACTCCTGAAGAAAGACTTTGCCCAGTGCTCTTCTCCACATTACCCTCCTGTTCCCTCTTCTACCTCCTTCTGCATAGCCTCCCATTCCTCCAGCTACACACATTCTGTGGAGACACGGGGCATCATCCAAAGATCCAAAGCAAGTGATGGTTTAAGAAGAAAACATCAGACTCTTTTGGAGAAGAAATGGTGACTCCACAAAAGATGGAGCTGCCGAGACCTGTAGGACACTCCTCCTCCTCCTCCTGGGTCGGGCTGTCCACACACAGACATTTGCCCCTGAGCGTAAGCTCGCACTCAGCTCCCATAGCTTGATGAAACCAATAGACAATTAAGATAGTTACACTTTCTGAACTCCTGGCCTCGGAAAGTTGCCCTGGTGTTTCCCAACTTGGCTGTGAACCCCTTGAGGGCAGACCCATACTTCAGACTGTTGTTATTCCTTCCCATCCTCCACTTAACTAACACGTCACATAGTCACCAACGACCAAGGTCTCCACCCGGCACAGGAGACACTCCTGCGATGCTCCACACCACGGTGGAGTCTGTCTGTCCATCCTGGCCCAGTGGGACACGCGTGGAGAGGAAGCCTTCCATGGTGAGACTTTGCCCCCAAATCCAAAGACATTCCCTCAAAACTGCCACCGTTCCCATCCCTTCCCCCTACTCCGTCTAGAAGCTTAGAATTGAAAAAGACATTAGATACCTCCCAGTCACAACTTCTCATTTCCGTGTGAACTGAGGCCACAGAAGGAGAAGTGGCGTCCTGCCCCCTAACCCAACCTAGCAAGTCCATCTTGAAGGAAAGTCCTTGGAGAAAAGGACCTTGACGTGTGGCTGCAGGTACCAAATGGCACCATGATGAGAATGGAAATGGCTCGATTCTGCTCATCTTGACAAGTGAAATAAGGCACCTATGACTCAGTGGCTAGAAACTGCTTTCTAGCCACTGTATAGAACTGTTTCGGCACTGTATAGAACGTATCTCCTAGAAACCAGAAGTTCCTTCTCAGTTTGGGGACAGAGAGACTGTGAGATAAGAGTGGGGAAAGGAATATGGAATTACCGAGACTCAGAGTCCAAGAAATTTTGACTTTTGTAGCCAGACCTTAGCGATCAGCCACCACTAGTCCATTTTACAGAGGAGTAAACTGAGGCTCAGGGAGTCCATGGGACTGGCCCAGAGAGGCAGCTCATTGGTGGCAGAGCTGATCTGGAATTCTGGACTCCCGGTGCCGTCCTCAAGTACTCTTTGCAGCATCTCAAACTCCGCATCTCTCACACTAACCCAGGCTAACTGTCATTTTCCAGTTTTGATCGGAAGGAAATGTGCCCAGGGAGGACCAGACGCAGCATGACCAGGAGATGCCAGGGACCCAGCTTGCAGCTGTTGGGTCCTGCTGGGCCCTCTGCCTCAGATCTCAGACCCAGAACTGACATGAAGCTTTTACTCACACTATTTCTTAGTGAAGACAGAACGTGCAGTCCAAGCCAGCGATAAGAATTCTCCCAGTATCCTGGGGCTATTATAATTAAAGGGCATAACTTATCTCTTTCGACTTGGCACTTTGTTAATTAGGAAAAGAGAACGTTAAAAGGGAGGCATTTATTTAGAACCAGAACAGTCAAACCACGGACTGAATGCAAAACAAGTTCAAGGGTACTGCGCTATAAAGAAAAACTAATGCACAAAATGCAAATTTCTATTCATAAATTAAGGATGGCTTTTATCCTACAAAACCTGTGTTTGTTTGTCTAAAGGCATCTCAACCATTTCAAGTGGCTCCAAACTAATTCTAAAGGGCTCCCAGGGCTCTGAGAGTCTGTGCCCTATCGCCACCTGCTGGGCTACTTGGGAACTGCCGCCATCTGGGGGTGCCTCTGCCTGCTTGCTCCTGAGGACCACTTGTGGGTCATTCCCTAATGGACCACTGGTTGGTGACCACTGCTCCAGAGGTTTCCTTATGTAGCTGATCCTCAGAATCCGTTGGGCTCTGGAATCCCTTATGACTGTGTGATCCAGACGACTGCTGGGGGCAACTTTCCACTGGGCCAGGATGGGCATGCATTCACATTTGTAAAAGTGGTGGACACTAGGGTTAGAGTTAGATGGCAACCCATCTTGTTCCGTCACAGGTCTCTGCTCTCCACACAGGTGGGAACGAGCAGCTGGAACCACCAAAACGTCCAATAGGAGATCTGAGCTTAAACAATGGGTAGTTTCGTCCTCATAGCAGATGGTTTTTTTCTTCCGGGAAAAAACAACAACTCTCAAATGTGTGCTTAACTATGGATAGTACTTATCAAAATACTAAAGGGTAGGCTAGCAGGTAAGAGATGTGGTGTCAAATGCCATCCACATTGCCAATGGCTGTGCACACTAGTCTCTCCATCAATAAAAGCAGAGAGCGGTACCATCCTGACCCGCTGTGCTCCGTGGAGATAGCGAAAGGGGGAATAAGAACCTGGACAAGCCAAAGGACAAACCAGGACACTGCCGAGCGGCCCCGCTCTGCGTGCCATAGTGAAACGAGCTATATGCCCATCGATAAAGAATTCGTAAATAAATGGGGTAGAGCTTTATAATGGAATGCACCATGGTTATTAAAATTAATGTGTTAGGCCTGTATTTACTTATATTCAGAGATGTAGATAGCATTTTGTTATACAAAAAAGTACACATGTACTATGACCTTATCATTAGATTAAGAACGATTCTGGAAGATTATATATCAAATTGTGAGTAGCGGTTATGCCGGGATGCTGAGATCAGACATAGTTTTTATTTTTTTTGCACTTTTGTATGTTGTTTGTACTTTTTTTCCTGATAATAAATATGGATTACGTTTTCTAGTTAGAGACCACAAAAAAGCGATTTCTGCTTTGGGATTATTAGGACGGCTTCCTTCATTGGCCTCCCTGCTCCTGCCCCTGCCCCTCCAGCGTCCTGTCTTCACAAACCGGTGAGAGGGAATCTGCTGAAACCTGATCAAGTGCCTCCCTCCACCCTCCACCCAACTGCAGTCTTCCCATCTCTCTTTGAGTGAGAGCAAAGTCCAGTGGCCTCCTGTGGCCCTCTAGGTCCTAATCAGCCACCACCAACTGTGACCTCATCTCCTCCCACTCTTCTCCCTTGGACCTACCAATCCGGCCACACAGACCTCCCTTCCCCCCCTGAACAAGGAACGCCCGGGATGCTCCTGCGTCAGGACCTCGGCATCTGCCTGCAATGCTCCTCCCACAAAGGGCTGGCTGGCTGGCTCGATAGGTAGGAAGATAATTGATCCAGGATCTATCCAGAGAGGTCACCCCGTTCTTCTGGCTCAAATGTCACCTTCTCAGGAGGCTATCTTTCTCTGACTGCCCGTCACCTTCCCTGTTTTGTTTTCTCCCTCTGCCATGCTATCTACATGTTTAGATTTATTTGTTCTTGTCTGTCCACCTGACTAGAACGTGAGCTCTGTGAGGTCAGGCGTTCCTTTTGTCGGTCTTGCTCACGGCTGAATTCTCAGCATCTTTAACAGTGCCTGGCACACAGTAGGCACTAAATATTAGTTTGGAAGAATCGATGGATACGGTGTAAACTAAGGTGGGGGACTGATTCTTTAGAAAGTGGGAATCCCCCTCACAAGGGAATGGCAGCCTGGGTTCTGCCCAGGACCTGCCCTGGGGT